AGTCAACAGCTCAGCATCGAGACCCCCCAGCGCTCGCGGGGAGGCGGCAGCGTCTGTGTCCGCGGCTGTGCGGTGCTCCTTCCTGTGTATTTTATTGGAAATAAGCTGCAATTTACTCTTCTTGTATTTATGTATTTGAATATCAACTCTTTAGAAGATAAAAAGGGGCACAATGAGGCCCCAGGGCCCCGCTGTCGTTGCTGCGGTAGCAGGCGGCGCGAGTTCCTGTCGGCGGCGAGGAGGTAATGCATACACCCGAGACGAGCACAACAGTTTAGTTTTTGAGTTTATATTTTTCTTATTTTGTTTTTCAAAAGTGTTTTATTAAAAATAAAAAGAAAATATGCAATATTCCCGGGGGAATCCTACACAGATATCCTCGCGGCGTGCCGCGGTGGAGAGGGTAACGGACCGTTGTGGGCGTATTGCATGAAATACAGAAAAACATAAATTTATTTATTAAAAACTAAAACTCATCATTTACTCTACTTCAATTGATACACTCTCGTGTCATCTTCGACTCTTTTCAGGGGGAAACTCCCCGCGTCGTGTGCAGCTGCATCATGCAAGCTTTCTCTGTGGGTGTTTTATGTATTTCTAGTTGCGTGCATGTCGGCTATAGAATGAAGCAAATAAATTCCGCTTATATATTATCTTTTTTTCTGTTTGTACGAGAGTCAAACGTGGCTTGGCTTGTTGAATCTGGCTACGTTTGCATGCGGGGTTGTTGCACTGCTACAGGAGTTGCAGCAGCAAGGACTGCTGCAGCAGCAGCACAAACTCTGTCGCTTTCTTTCTCTTCTCTCTGTATCGTGCTTCAGCCCCAGACCTTTTCCTCGCTGTTTGCCTAGAAAAAAAGCATGCAGCTTGGAGGAGTATTGGTTAAAGTTGTTTTTCTTAATTGTATTTTCTGAAAGAGGCATTTGATTTCTTTGAAACTCACAAAGATGATTGAGGACCCGCAGTGCAGCTTATATTTGTGGCCCCTGAGTTTCTGCATTCTCTACAGTAAATCCTTTTCCCCATTTCAGAAATACCTGTATAAAATAGATCAGTTAACGATAAACAGCCCGATTTGCATGTAGTTTAGGCGTTTGTTTTAGCGGTGGATAGAGCGCGCTCGTTTGGGGTGTATAGGCAGGTCCTGCTTTCTAGCATTCCTTGGGTTTTCTTTTTCGTTCGTTCTCGCTTTGTTTTCAAATTAAAAGAGTTTATGCTTGTGTTTCAGCGACAATATGGTTTTGTGGTGCCCCCTGATCACTACAATTGGCGTTCTGTTGCTGTTTCCCCTCGCTCTCTCTGTGCAGCCTTTCCGTTTCTCTCAGAGCCGTGCACGACTGGATCGCGACAAAGTAGGACTTGAACAAACCAGAAATATAAATATATGCGATGAATCCATGATAAAATTACAAATTTCTTGCTTTCTTTTTAGACGCCCCCGCCGTATCCTATCATCAACGTACACCTAGGTATGTTGTTGTTCAA